AAAATCAGCCTATGTCACCAGATTACAATTTAAAATATGACATATTATCTCTGCCATAGTGGTAAAACACTATATAATACTGGCAAAAATGGCCACTATCCACTAAAATACAATCAGCATTTTCTTGAAAATTTATTTGTTTTTCTTTGCAAAGAATTTTATTATATTTTTGATGGGATCATGATAAAACTATATTTTGAAAAATATCAGTTACTGAAATGCAAGGTACGCACCACTACATCGCACAGGTGTGACGAATGTGTTGACAACTGCGATCCTCACTCTCTCGCAGTGAAGATGGCAGTCTATTGAAATTGTTTCGGTATTAAAAGCAACTCTCTCCCTTTATTGAACTGTCCATATATTATAATGTCCTATCATTTTAGTTCGTTTTCAAAGCTTAAACAGAATTGAAGCCAATTTTAGAATGCTACGGACTGATTATCAATATTTGCTATTCGGGGCATGTTGCAGCTTCAAAAACAAAACGCATGGATAATAGTGGGTAAACCCCGAAATTACAATATTGTATTCCTCGTAGTAATACTCTTAGATGTGATATTATAGTTGAACAATGCATTCATATATTCAATCGAAAATTACTAGGTAAAAAAGGGCGGACAATACATTGGCCAGACAATCAGCCTTAGGCTGTACCATCTTTCATTTTGAAAATAATTCATCTGGAAATTTTATATAACTATTAATAGACGCAAGACCATCGTTTTACCGTGACAACGATTATTTCATAACAGAGACTATATTAATTGCTTTACCGATAATAAGATGTAATACTTAATGAAATGATGAGATGTAAGACTTATTGAACTCGTATTGGCGTGACGTTCTGTTCAAAACAAATATGACCGCGTTTCCAAGCAACAAGATTTGAACTGATGGTGTTATGTAATGTAGTATCGTATATTAGAAGTAGAATTGGGAACACATTCGTAGAAAACCTAAGAGAGAAAGTAACCTGTCACTGGTAGCTCGAAATGGCTCCCATTAATCATTACACTGAAGACGGAAATAACCTGAAAGAAGCACATGATAAATAGGAAAAATGCCTGAGTATCACAGCAATTCTTCAGACACATTTGCGCAGTTTCTAGTTACAAACAAAGTCATGCACCAATAATATTTTAATTTGTTTGGGAAAACACTTCGAAAATGTTAATACAGTTAAATTGTTGTGGGATTTCCAACTTAAGCTACTGTCTAGACCGCACGTAATGAAACCGTTATATGAGTTAGGCAACAATTAATTGGACAACACAGCAAGACATAAAATGAGTGATTAACTAATAACAGATTAGACATTTGTGAAATTCGATTTTTGTGTCGGACAGTACAGTAAATGTTGATATTTTTGAGGGGTATAAAGTCCATACAAGCGTTGAAACTGAGGCTGAGCTGACAGGTCGATCGGCGTATTAGCATAGCCGCTGCCTCAGAGTTCCACGAGTCAGCTTACCCAATAGTGCTGCTGTTTAATTTGTGGAGAATTCAAAGTTCGGCGCTAGGTTAAGACATGTGGTTTCATTTTCTTGGGAATTCCACAGACGTTTTCTTTCCACCGCCATCTTCCAGAATATTCTAATTAGCATATGGTTAGGGGGTCATATTTACGGTCATGACCCCAGTGCAAAACACGCAGTGCTGGGATATAACGAAAATAATATCGTATATTTGTTTTCGCTCAGTTTGCTTGTGGAGATTGTGCTTTCAGATTATAACTTAGAATATGGAAAAAAAAAACTTTTTTATGGCTGTATGGCATCGCATTTAACAGTTAGAATTAGGGAATAACCACCCACAGAGGCTAGTGTACCACGAGATTTGTACCAGTTTCACACTAGTACTAGATTCACGCGCCAGGCGCCTCCCCACCCTTTAGCCCGCTAATCAATTGACAAACCCAGCCCACCGGAGGTCTTACTAAGGCCACGTCACTAGGAGCCCCCCCCCCCCCCACTGAACTTCTGAAACCGCCAGTGTTCTCATCCAATCACATTCGTGTTTTAAAGGCTTGACATATATGTCATTTAACAACACTTTATGCCATTTCATTCTACGTTGTGTGCTTTAAGTGTTTATATTGTAATTCTGTAATGCGTTTACGCAATTGCACTATGCGAGACTTGAATATTAATATTGCAGCAATTCTATAATGCGTTATGCTATTTCACCCCACGTTATGTCATTCTCACCTGCGTTATGCGATCCCACTATGCGAGATTTGAGTATTTATAGTGCAATTGCTCAATACGACATGCCATTCCACTATTTGGCTTGCCCTTTAATGCCACAAAATGCAATATTACAATGCGCCGTGCCATTTGACGCCATGACATGTTATTTTGATGCCCCGACGCGCCATTCCATAAGGCGTCTATCATTTACCTGTTCTTCCCACCAACCGCATTTGACGCCTTTGTATCGAATGCGCTCTCTTACGACACTGCGAAAATATTAGTCATATATTACAAGCTATAGTGACACTAGTTTCACAATAAATGTCAACTTAAAGGGGAAAGTGTAGGGAGTGATAGATCAATACATAGGGATATTGATTGATTAGTGATAACATCATAGCCATTGGCGGGAACAGAATGAGCATCGCCCCACGGACTGTTTCAGCAGATTTTAGGCAAATATAAATTTAAAATATAATATTTTGTTTTACTTGGAAAGCGTTTGAGCTGTATCTGGCGCCATTTTGTCAAGGTCTGGGTACACTGGTGCTCGCCGGGGTGTGTAAAATCATATACCTCTTTCAAAGGTCTATGGCAAAATGTGCAAGGTACAGTTAAAAGGCGGTGGTCGTCTCGCTGCGCATGTGCGACATTTGTATTGATAAACCCAAAATTTAATGGGCTCTTATAATGGAAATCTCAAGTATGAGGTTTGATCTGGGCACGACTTGCACTAATTACAGCCGGTGACTTCTTGAATCGATACCTTCCAATCACATAAAAATACCTAATTAAAGCTTATTAACCTCTCATTTTGTACTCGTTGATCTGCGCAGCTGTCAAAGTCGCCATATTTGTTTATATGAGACCCATATATCCCGCGCATGCGTGGCGCGACGACTACCGCCCT